AATAGTCTTTTAAACTAAATCACTTATAATGATTGTTACAAATAGGAAATAACCAATTAATCATATTTTAATATAATGATTAATTGAAATATTGTATATGTGTGTGTGTGTGTGTGTAGGAGCACCTTAGACATTAATTATAATGAAGAAACAGCAATTAATATATGTGGATTTGTGAAATATTTAAAGCAAATATTTAAAACAAAACTAATCCATAATCAAATTCAACACTGTCTGAAGGAGAAAAAAAGCACTTCGAGGAGTGCCTACTTGGGCAATGGGAACTAGAATACAAAAGCGCTGCATGATCCTTAAAACAGATGCAGATATTTTAATGAGTCACAAGTGGATTCTCTACTTGCACTTTGCATGCTCCGAAGCACCTTCTCAGAATCAAACATGAAGCTCTCTAGCGACAGATAGTCCTCAACTTAAGACTACAGTTGGAACCAAAATTTCTTGTCATTACGTGATGTGATCGTAAAGCACGACGGCACGTGATCAAATCGCTTAGTGACAGAACTCCCTGTTGCCATCTGTAAGCAAATTCTATTGGTCATTAGTGAGGACCAATCCAAGCTAGTCTTTTCCCTCCCAGCCCTCAACTTCAGTTAGGTAAGGGCCTGCCTTGAATTCCACCCCCCAATCTATTGGTCCCCTATCCTGACCTTTTGGCCATCCTGGATCCTCCCTTCTAGGCCAGAAAACAGCCTTAAGATTATGTGGCTTTGGGCTGCTTGCCACGTTTTGGCTCAGGGGTTTCTTGGCATGCAGTGACTCTGAGGCCGCAAGAAGCCCCTGAGCTACCTCACTGTGGCCCAGCAGCACAATGCCAAGCTTCAGCCATCCTGGAAGCCCCAGCCACCCTGGGAAGCTCCCATCGCTGTGGCATGAAGCTGCAGCTGCCTCAGGAAGCCCCAGTTGCCCCATTCCAGTTTTGGTCAGAAGTCAAGGACTATCTGGGGCATGTCTTTTGATAGATTACTCACTAAGCTGCATTAAAATTAGGATTTATAAGTGAAGTATGTACCTTTTCTCTTTTATCTGATGGTTTTGTTTAACTTCTGCAATAATGCAGAACATAATTATCTACTCTAAAAGTTATTTTCCTCTGAATTTGTGATTAAGAACTTTAACCATTTTCCCTGGACTTCAATAGACTCATTCCAAAAATGATTTATCTTTGTTGGTTTCCTACAGGAAACCAGACCAACATCCTATTACTTTATTTTCCTTACTTTTAGCAGAAGTCACATAAAATTAACTGGAAGGGAAAAACCTATTCAGCCAGTAGCGTAGAAACAATAAGGCATCAAAATGAAGAAAACACTGGTTAAGCTTAGACCAATTGATAATGATGTACTGTGTCATTATAAAATAATAACTATATATGAAAGCTTCTTGAAGACACCAAAAACACAAAAGACAAATAAGATTTAATGTGGGTAGAATTGTTAAATCTCACACAAAATATTAATAACCCCCAAATTTTCTTATACTGAATTTCAGATTTATTTGTACTGCTATCATAAGATGGCTGGTTTTTGTATTTGGGAGATTTTGGTATCTTCAGGTCAGTTTGAATTTCAGGAAACTGCCTGGAGAAATTTGTGCAGTTTTCTTGGCAACATTTTAATAAGTGGTTTATCATTTACTTCTTCTAGGGCTAAGACTGATCCAAAGTCACCCCGCTTGCTTTATATTTAAGACAGGACTGGAATTCAGTCTACCAGTTTCCCAATTCATGCCTTTAACCACTATACCAGACTGTCTCATAAACTGTGAACTACTTTAGGAACTTGAGTTATAAATATAATAACATTCAAACAGGTAAGCGTCACCACACAACCACCCATATTTAACAACTGTCATGGGAAACACAAAAAAGGTCCGAATAGTGGACATTGCAGTATTTGGAGATAGCAGAATGGAAGAGAAAGAACTGGAGAAAATCACAAAATACCAAGACTTGTAAATCAAAGTGGAAGGACAGTGACAAAGCAAACAAAGATAGTACCAATAGCAATAGACAACTTGGGTGCCATTGAAAAAACATCTGGAGCATCAATTGGCATTGACAAAATCACCATTAGTCAATTTCAAAAGGCAGCTTTATTTGGAACAGTTTGCATCAGGGGTGTGAAACTGCCGGCCCGCGGGCCGGTTTCATCATACCGGAGCCGCGCCCACCCCATTGCCGGCAATAGCAAAAAAGCTCCGATACGTTGCGCAACGTCACGTGACGTCGCGAGTTTGACATGTCTGGTTTACATCCTATGCTGATACCTTTAATACCATCAAATAACAACACCTGTCAATCCCAGATCCTTAGGAAGGTGAATAAAAATGCCAAATCTACTACGACATAACAGACATTTTGAAAATATTGCCAGATCCAAATACTTATTAGCAAAAATTTTGAAGATTAAAAAGTACAGTACTACCTACATTCCAGAAAATCAAACGGTAACAATGATGACAATTATTATTATTACTGAGTAACAGAAAAGTATCAATTATGAATATATATATGTATCAAAACACAGAAACACACAGAAATACACATGTACACAACTAAAAAAACATAAAAGACAGCAAAAGTATACTTTCATCTTCATTTCTCATCTTGTGGCTAAATACAGAAGACGTAGTAATGTGGGAATTTATCTTGTTTGATTTTATATCACTCCTCAACTCTTTCAAATAATTTAAATCAGTTACATGAGAATAAAAGAAAACAAAGATGAACAGAAAGAACGAACAATACACACACAAACACACAATGTTAAAGAGAGTTTTATAAACAATTTTGCACAGAGTATTCATGAATTTGCTTAGATCTCATGCCCTGTCAAAAATTCAAAAGCTGATCTATCAAGTAGGGCATTCAAATGCAGCCATGGGTTGAAGGGGCAGTGGAAATGACACATACACGAAACCCTCCTGCAAACAGAAGTGTCAACTGTGTGCTCTGATAAGTCCTGGCCAATACTTACAAACAAAAAGAATGTTGGATTGGATCCAAACCTGTTTGAGTGGAAGGGATTTCAACTTGGCAGAATATCCTATGACTAACCATGTCCCTCTTGCACTGCAATAGACCATCCAAAATGCCATACCTTTCTGAATATTCTAACATTCAGGAAAAGCAATTGGAAAGGAATATAGGGCTGGGATATAGATGGGACAGAAAAGTCTTGATGCGCAAACAGAACTACTAAGCTGGAATTCAACCCATTATCTTTTATTTCTATATTTGATAAATTTAATTTAATTATTCTTAGGTGAACACTAAAGAAAACGATGATTGTACTTGTCTAATGTGAAACTAAATTCTTTCTCAGAATATATGAAGCAAATATAGGCTTTCCATTAAAAATCAACACTAACAAGCAGGAGGCAGTTCCTGGGCCAAGAAAAATAAATGGGGTTAGGCCTGATTGATATTTGTACAGAACACTAACTACCCTGGAAGCCCAGAACTATAGGTTTCACTGCAAAGTTGCAAAAACATCTATCCAAACATAAATGTGTCTGGATAAGTCGCCAAGAGTTCGGCTTGATTTGATGGCAACAAATAACGTTCTTCTCATTCCTTTAACTGATTATGTTTATCTCTGAGCTTAAAACTTTTTACCAAGTTAATTGTTTTATTGTATTGTAACTGACTACAGGGGTTATTTATACAATAGAAATTGGAAACTTTGACATTGTGATGATCTAGATGAATTAAACCTTTAAATATGATAAAAACATGTTTTATCAATGCTAAATAAATGTTCTAAGATGTTAATGAATGTAAGATTGTTTAATTTGTGTAACTGATATTGATAAAATTGATAAAAAGTTGCAAAATGCATGACATTATTTTATAATATTAAGGTTTAGATTTTTAAGCTTAATATTTAATACTAAGGTCTCCCACTGTATTATTATTATTTTTTAAAGTCTGTGTTTAAAACTTTGATGATCAAGAAGCAAAAGACAAGGGAAAGATAAGGTTGCAAATTTCTCAGTGACCAGAAAGGTTGAAAGGTAAACGGGAGTAGAATAAAGTGGTTTGCAGAGCTCCAACTTCTGGAGAAGGGAAGAAATCCATTCCAGTGCAGTGTATGGCCAATGGGGATCAGAGACTCCACAAGGGCACTCTCTTCAGAGAAGTGTCAAGCTCACCATTTTGTTGAACAAATGTACTTGCTTTGTCATTTCCAACATGACGGAATGGTACTTCCTTAACAAATTGAGAATCTATCTCAGTTTGTAGACACTGAATATATAATTCTTTATTGTTTATATCAATGTATTTTATAGAAATAATGTTCATGGATATTTAAAGATTATACCTATGTTTAAATAACAAGAAAAGTTGCAAGGAAAAAAGTGTTTAAACACAAAGGGCAGTGCTGATACAAAAATAATTGCAAAAAGTGAAAAAGGGTGTTCTACATCAGAGGTCCCCAACCTTTTGGGCACCAGAGACCGGTTACGTGGAGAGAGAATTTTCTGCAGACTGGAGGGGGCGTAGTTTTGTGTGCTGCCTGCATCCCGCGGATGGGGCTTTGCTTGTTTGTGCGGCCCCGTTGCTGGCATGCCACAGACAGATATCCAGTCCACGGACCGGGGGTTGAGGACCCCTATTCTACGTCATTCAAGAATATCCTAAACTCCAATCAACCTTCAGTTAAAAATTAACATGACTACATAATTTACAAGTGAGTCATCTGTCTTTGCTGTATGTATTTAAATATTTATACTCACAAATCATGCTTCTCTCTCCTATATGCATGCATATACACCAACACGTTTGGTATAGTTTTGTTTACTTAAACCATTATTTAAAGTTTCTTTTGTATTTTTACATTCTCAGAATGTTGTTCATAAATATATGTTAAAATAAAATAAAAATGGGATCTAACAAAATAAGTAGCAACAGAATATACTACTTTTTCCTTCATATAATCACATGTTTATTTTGTAAGACATTTATTAATATTACTTACTTTAACATGACTCTGTGCTCCAAGGTTGTAAATTTCAGAGGGCTTAACTTCGTTGATTATTTTCACCAAGCAAGTACTATCTGTCAAATCACCATAATGTAGTTTCATATCTTCAAGTAAAAAAAAAAGTTAAAATTCATATAAAATTGCCATGTGTTGTATTCATTTCTATTTATACTTTCCTAATTCCTTGAAAAGTCATGCAGACATATATATTTTATTATAACTATAATTCAAGGCAGATCACAGCTTTCTAATAATATACCATACTCCAATCTTCATATTTTATTAAGTCAGACATTATTTTCTTTGAAATGTAAGTCACTGACTGATAAATGATAGGAATTCTGAAATTTAATTTGCATTTATTAAATTACATGAGCTATTAGATTTTGTACCAACTGGTTTTCTGACAAAAATATAAAAATATGATTAAAGAAAAATTAAATAAAATGACTTATATAATACAGAAAGTCTACTGAAAACATTTGAAGTTCTATTTATTTTCAACATATTGTCCTAGTTCAATTTTGCTAAAACCATTTATGTTATCAGTCACAATATGCAAAATATATTTTCTTATATTTTTCCTGCTCTGTTAACTGGTTGCCTGAATTACTCAGGTAGAATAAGTACATGAGTAAAGTCAGGTAGCTTGTGAATATGATTAGATCATTATTACACGGCCCTCATTATCTGCAGTCTAATTATCAGGTGAATTTACATATTCATGATTGATAAATAAAGAAGACAACTATAAATATGTAAAGGTTTTCACATGTTATGATTTGGCTTTGATTTTATATAGGTACAAATGGCAGGCTTTCAGATATGCATACCCAATAATTTTTTTAAGAATAGGTTGTCACTTCAACTTACCTGTATCTGCTTCCTTCCTCACCTTTCTTAGTCATAGATTTTACTGGACCAACCCACACATGAGCTTCCACGTGGCAGCTGGGTCTCTTCAAAGTGACTAACTTGGCTGGTGATGGAGGAGGTTACTCATTTGCACTTCCTCACAATGGGTTCTCTATCTACATGGCTCTTTTGCCATCTTAGTGGATGGTCCTCTCAGTCAATTGCTGGATCCTTTTGCTAAAGTGAGAGCCATATGGAGGACAGGAGTCACCACAAGCAATTATACAAGTAAAATGTCTCCATCTTCCATCAAGTAAGTTGCATTGAAGAAGGGGACCAGCTGCATAGGGAAGCCACATGAACTCTCATACTAATCTGACTTAATGAAATCTGCCACATTTGAGTGAGAGGAGAAACGCATTCAGAAACATTGCTTAGACAACATCTATGAGAGGAAGATGAAGGAACTGGATGACCATTAGGCTCTAGGACCTTATCCCAATTCTCATAAACCTTTCTTGTTTTTTGTAGCTTTATTATTATCCATGATTCTGGTTAAGAAAATTGTGTTGGAACAGAACCTTAACAGTCACCAGTATATTATTTTGTTAGAAATGGCTGATGTTAGTAACAAGATTGGCCAGCAAGCTGCCTTGCTGTAATGGCTAAAATTTTGATATCAGATCACCAAATTCATTTTACTGCTAACATTTTTTATACTGATTTCACATGGCATAGAGCAGGAGTGTCAAACTCAATTTCATTGAGGGCCGCATCAGCAATGCGGTTGTCCTCGGTGGGCCAGGTAGGTGTGGCCAGGGTAAGCACGACCTACTGGGTGGGTGTGGCTGGAGTGGGTGTGGCCTACTGGGTGGGCATGGCCAGCTCTACATCTTTCGCGTCAAGGGTGCCTGTGGGAGCCTGGGCAGGAGTGGGACAGATCTGAGGGTCTCTGGCAGAAGGGGGTAGGACCAGGACAAGCGCCAAGGCATGGTCCACTGGAAGAGCCTGCCAAAACCCTTCCCCCGGAGCCCATCAAGCCAGATATGTGAAGTAGGCGAGGGCCATTTGCTGGCCACTTCCAGGCGATGGTGCATTTCTTCATTCCTCACAAAGGGTGACACCTCCCCAGCGCGCACCCAGGGGGTGGGGCCAACACGGCAGGGGGTGGTCCCTTGCTGTTTCCAGACAGCCTTGTGGAGCTAAAACTGAATGCGTTTCAGCATAGATGGCACCACAAAATTGTACATTGGCTCCCGGGCGGCCAGGGCCGGGGTCAAGGCAGCGGGGGCCATTCCCTCACTGTTTCCAGGATAGCTTCGCGGGCCACATGAAACCACGTTGCGGGCCGCAACTGGCCCCCAGGCCTTGTGTTTGACATGTCTGGCATAGAGGGACTTGATAAAAATTGCAGTTGTATGACCAAGAAAAGAATTGTGAACTAGTTCTAATTAGTCAGGGAAATGATTTGCAATATATTAACAAACCTATATTGCTATCCTAAAAAGTATTCTTAACTTTGCTTTTTTTTAGGGATGATTAATGATATCAAAATTTCATGTTCTGTTCCAGTTGAAATTAACAAAAATTAACAAAAATATTTTCTAAAGTATTTTTCAAAAAAGGATAGAGGCTAGATTAAAAAAGATCCTCACATAATTAGTCTCAGTGATCAATTTCCTGTTTGTTGGAATCTTATACAAACATTAGCAATAAAAACAAAATCACAATTCCATCTTACCTTTCGATGCATACTTACTTCCTTCTATGTGAGCCTGCGGGTTCTTGTAGAGATGTTCAATTCGTCCTGTGTTAAAAGAGCTAGATCTGCGAACAATTCCATGTACCTGCAATTGAACAGAAGTACAGAAAATATTTTTGATATACCGTTTCACAATATCAAGATGTTGTGAGATCAGTTTCATGATACAGAAGTGTCTGATTCAAATACAAGAAATGGCCGTAAAGATTCAGGGGACTGAATTATTCCACGACACAACACAATTGTCCAAATATTCTCCTGAAAAAGCACCTTTGGAAGAGTTTCTCTTGTAAGTTGAGCTCACAAATGGCTGTGCAAAAGCCACTTAATGGAAACATCTGCATGAAAATAATGGCATCCTCTTTCTCCATGCTCTTTCTCTTGTTGAACAATCATTTCTGATTATTTCTGACAAACATCTCTAGCCTATGGAACCTGTATAACATATAATTATAAATATGTACTTAATTTGTACTGTAAATTTGTACTTAATCTCTTCATGGGTTCAGATTGACATTTATGCAGTGTTTTTCTCTGAACAATGGAAAGAGGGAGAGTTTTGCTACCTACATATATAACCAGTAGAAAATTTAATTACATCTAGCCAACCCTGGCCAAACTCAGCACTAAGCGGGATTAGACCTAGACCTGGATGACAGACCATAAAGAAACCCCAGGTTTGTAAAATGGACTAGAAAGAAAAAAAATTAAAACCAAAGGCAGTGGCAAACTATTTCCATAACATATTTATAGTGAAAGTACCCAGTGAAACAGATTACTTTATATCTAGTACCGGATAGTTTCCTTATTTCAGCTGCTCTCTTGTTCTTCCTTTTGCTCATGTTAAAAAGACATGATTTCTAAGTTACAAATATAAAAGTAGTAGTGTCACTTTACTATTATGAAATATACTGATTAATGTTAGAAGTAACAAATAACACAGAAGATGGAATTACGACAGAAACATTTTAAAGAACGAGGAAATTTTTATATTACATATATTCAGTGGTGGGATTCAAATATGTGAACAACCAGTTTTCTGTGTGGATGCCACTTCCGGAAGTCCATTCTGGGCCTGGGCAACAAAAAATTAGCTACTGGTTCTGCCAAACTGGTGCGAACTGGCTGAATCCCACCACTGCATATATTATGTTGTTATGACAGCTAAATGGAAAAGGATCAAGTTCATTAATGAGGTACCACTTTTCAGCTGTTTATTCTGCGGTAGAACATTATGGTACCAAAATTCTAACATTTCATAATTGTTGAAACACAGTTCAGTTTATTTTTTCAAGGTCCCCACCTCCCATTCCCTGAAAAATACCTTCTTTAGGAGGCATTCAAAATAAGTTAACTTCTTCCTCCTGCATCGTAACACATGAATTTAATGTAGCCTTGCTTTGCACAGGCTGCTGTTTATCTGAATAAGCAGGAAGTGTGGAAAAACAGCTATACCCTGAGGATCGGAGGGATTCCACCATTGCACTCTCCATGATAAACAGTACAATGTACTGGCATGATTACAGCTCATGTTGTGCATTCTTTTCAAACATTTTGATTTCTTATCTCATGCTGAATGGAAAACATAACCAGAGAGTGACAGCAACAAGGAAGCTCTGTCCAAATTATTCCATGAGTCTGCAGTCAGTCAGCAAGACTACTCACTCACCTCATAGCCCTTTTCCAGCAGGAACTCTGCCAAGTATGAGCCATCCTAATGAGAAGATAGGAAAATGTTATGAAAGTGTTAGGACCGTCTTATCTCTATGTGGAAGCTGTCAGCTTCGGTCATCTTAAGAATACTGTAACTCAGAAATGAACTTGTAATTAACAGCCTACATGGAAAGTTCAGTGCATTCAATCAGTTACATGTTAATCAATCAAAGAATTTAGTACTTCAAATCATGCCTTTGTTTTTCAGCATACAGAACAATAGACGATTAATTCATTGAGACTAACTATTGTTGCCTACTTTTAATTTGTCATGTTGGAAAATGAAGTGTATTATGTAAGGAAGATAGATATCTTTATACGTAAGTTTTACAACAGCTTTCTAGTCCACAATTCCTGGAGAGCAGTATGGAAATGGACTTGAAAAAGGAGTTTAATGACCTTTTTGTAAGTTATCAGTTAAGATCAGAAAGACAGGAGACTGTCTTACAAGATTGCCTGGTCTTGATTTTCTTTAGTGTAAGGCAGGGGTGTCAAACTGCCGGCCCGCAGGCCGGATGCATCATCCGGAAGCCGCGCCCACACCATTGCCGGCAATGGCAAAACTGTCCCGATACGTTGCGCAATGTCACATAATGTTGCGAGTTTGACATGTCTGGTGTAAGGGAATCTTTGTCAGACTATCAAGTAATTCTGAAATTATATCCAAAAATAATAGAATAGAGTTATAGTTCTTGTGCTGTCTATTTCCTGACCTAGTTCTGTTGGGACTGCAACATCTGTAACTAAAATAATTTATTCTGCAGCAAAACCATTGTTAAAATCATCAAAGACCTGCAGTGTAAGTATCCCAACACAACTTACAAACAATTCATACACATGCAAAGGGACTACACATGTGCACATACATCCACTTCCAATAAATCTAGGTAAAATTATACATTTTTTTATACAGAGTAATAAGGATGTTTAGCCCTGAGTAGGCCCCAATTATAGTATGCTTCACACCACATTGAGCAGGATATGGACAAGTTTGCAAAAATAGAAAAATATGGAGAAGTCATGTGAATATTGCTGTGAATTAATTTTAGTTATAGATTTTTTCATATTTCATGCCCTAATTTCTTTGGCACATTATTGTTCTTTTTCTGATCTTCCATAAAATTGTTTATATCAAAAAAGAATAGTGTAAGAGGTACACAGGTATACTTTTAGAAGCTTTTCATTATCTATAGAGTTTCTTTAATAATATAAGTAGTCTATGCTGAGCGACAATTGGAACTGCAACTCATTAAGTTAAAAAGTCTCTAAGTGAAATCTTGTTTGTGGTTAACAATCTTTCTTCAGCTTTCTTTTGCTTTACAGACCAAGAAAGTTATAAATGAGAGGACTGGAGGCAAAGTTACAAAGTCTGCAAAGGTGAGGAAGGGAAGTAAGCAATTTCTGTAGACCATCTTTCCTTTGTCTGACCCTTCCCCCCCCCATCACCCGCTGCAATGCGGAGAGATTGGAGAGAAATGGATTTCAAGAGAGTCTTGAAAGTCTTCGACTTAAAACCCTTAATAACATTCAACATTCAAACTTACAATAACCTCAAAAAAAATTACTTACGACCCATTCTCAAAGTTACGACTGCCACACATATTCCCTGTGGCCACATGATCGCATTTCAGGTGCTTAACAACCAGCTCGCATTTATAATTGGTTGCAGCATCTCATGGTCATGTGACCATGATTTGCAACATTTTTTTCCCATTTGCAGCAACCATTTGCCAAACCACCAAAATGGTTTGCTAGCAACCAAAGTGACTTGCTTTATAAGTATCGTAAAAAAAGTTGTAAAATTAAGTCAGGTCACATGATTATCCACTTAATGACAGCAACAACTTATGATCGAAATTCAGGGCTCAATTGTGGTTGTAAGATGAGGACTACCAGTACGCTGTTTGCTCTTCTCCACGTCAAAAGTACTGCCATCGCATTGGAGAAAGGTCGCTGAATGAATAATCAGTAAGTGAGGACTATCTATATCACAAGTTTCTCTTATTACAAATATAAAGTCCATCGACTTCCCCAAAACTACAATGTTATAAATATTTATGTGAACATTTTAAGAAAACACCTAAAACTATAAGCTGCCACATGAAAGAAAGCAAATGATAGAAAAATTATCTAATTCTTCAATTTGAAACCTGAAAAATATTAGATAGCTTTATATGAATTAATAAAACTCAAGATCATTCATTATACTACCAAAGGAGCATTGCATAAACCCAATTTGAATGAGCATATATTATATAAATCACATATATCATTTTTCATTCAGAGGGTGAATGGGGGAGGAATAAGTATGTTTGCTTCATTCAAGGCAATAATGGAAAATTAAAAATATTTACTATTCTGATTTAATCACATAAGTTATTATAAATCAAATACAAAAAGAGCAGGTTTGCAGATTACTTAACTTTTGATGCAAAATAGACCTAAACACAAAAGTATTCCATCAAATAAGGTTTTATTCTTTCCACCTAAGCTGTTTTAAACTTATGAACCTTGCTGGAACATTTTAAACTAGCTATGGCATTCATTTCCTTTGTATTTCCTTTCCAGGCTTATCAACTGACAGAAAACGACAAGATAAATAAGTAGGAAACAAGCAATTATTAGAAGCTAATAATTTCTAATTCCACAATGTTATTGCTAATTTGTTATTTAACTATTTAATATAATAATTAGGACTTACTACATTAGAGCAATCTGTATCATTAGCCTTGATTTCTTTGCAGCAAAATGATATAGTGAACATCTTACTCAAATAATCCCACAGACTAGATATTTACAATTTCATTTTATCTCTGGAGTTTCAAATACTCCAAATTGATCATCTTGTATATGTATTTATGCATAGCCATTTTGATTTAAATATTTAAGAACATCCAAGACTTTTAGTTTTTGGAGTTTGTAACATGGAAAAATCCACATGAACTACTGCCAAAGGATGCTCCTAAAGGATTCTTTTACAGATTGCACTGTACCTTGCTTATATGTGTTTTCCAAACATTTTCAGTTGCAGGATCCAATCTGGGCCAGTCACCGGGACCAGGGGTTTTGTCTGCAGAGCAGTTCAAGGTAGACAGAAGTTCCCTGACGACAGGCTCCACCACGAGTCCAAAAGCTTGGAAGAGAAAACCTCTGGTCCCAATGACCGACCCAGATTGGATCCTGCAACTTTATCCTGGCACATGTATATTTGTCTTCATTCATGATTTTCAGTTACTTTCAAGCGGGAAAAAAAATGAAAAAAATTTGAGGGAAGTGCAACCAAACAGGATACAACACACAATTGCTACCACGATTTATAAAAAAAATTAGGAGTCTCTCAATATGAACCAAAAATTGAAATTTCTCTTTCTTCATTATATAAACTTGATATCTGAGTATTCTGTGAATGAATGAATGAATCAGTCAATCAATGAATGAATTAATGAATGAATGAATCTACTTTTACAGCACTGTCTGTAAAAGACTTATCTTTTTAATGCCATCAAACGCAACAGTAATGCTATTTTCAGTAATGTTGATAACTTTTAATCTTAGATCTAAGATTTTGAATAGCATAAATAGCATAGCACTTAGACTTAGATACCACTCCACGGTGGTTCAAAGAAATACCACATCAAACAATTATGCCAAGAAGCTAAAGCTTAGACCTAATTATGAGAAACAAACACCTATCAAGAAGACCCAGCCCATAGCTAAGTTTGGTCTGAGCTAGAAAAGTCAGTAAAAGGTTCCAATTTAGTTTTATTCTGATGTATCAGATCTGGCATGCTGAAAAAGTGAAAGCTTCTACTTGATATCCCCATTTTAACTTCGGTTTAGGAAGATTTTTAGGCCCCCAGTGGCAATGACAGAAGTGAAAACATATTATTCAGTCATTGAAACCCAATAAAGCCATCAAAGACTTCCCACTTCAAGTATTTTTCAGGACAAACATTGATTAGTGGGCTCTATTGCTGGAAGGGCTGTTTACTTACATAGCCAACACCTAGCAGGAAGAAAACTCTCTTTCATAATTCCCATACACACAAAAAAAAATGAGACAAGGAAAACTAAAAATTGCAAACCCATAAGCATTATTGATAAAACAGTTAAGATATACGCAAAACATCTCTCAAGAAAAGTAGAGGATTGGGTGATTAAAACACTGCAATAGAAGAAAATGTATATAGTTCAGTTTATAGTATATAGCTCAGTGATTCTCAACCTATGGGTCGGGACCCCATTTGGGGTCGATCGACCATTTCACGGGGGTCGCCAAGCAAGGCTGTCCGCCATTTTTTTTCCCTTTTCCGGCGGGTGCCTTACCTCGAGCTGGGCCAGCTGGTGGTCAGCCTGCTCCGTCTCTGCCGCTTGCCAGCTACGCCTCGGCCGGCGCAGGGGGCGGAACCACGCATGTGCGGTGCTCCGGGCAGGGAAAGTCCTTGATTTATGACCGGTTGGGTAGTCCCCGACTTACGACCAGTTTAGTCCTCGACTTACGACCGGTTTAGTCCTCGACTTACGACCGGTTGGGGGGTCGCGGCATTAAAAAGGTTGAGAACCACTGATATAGCTGAATGATGGAGTTCCGGATTACCACCAGCACTTCTAGTGAATGTGGGGTTTGCTCCCTTTTCTCATACAGTAGCTTGCCCTGCTAGTGTTGATGGGGCGTAGTTTCCTCCTTGGTAGTTCCTTGGGGTATTTTTTCTTCTTCTTGTTTGACTGATGTTAATCCTTGCTTATCTGAGTATTGACTGCTAGAGAGAATGCTTTCTTAGTTTTTTTTATTGTTTCTTTTGAATGGTATATAACTGTACAAATCTATGTGTCCATTGATGGGTTGATACATCTGAATGCCAAGCTTTCAGTAGTTTTCTAGTAGTTTAGGATTTAACTTGGCTTAGGATGCTCAGTTTTCCAACCGAAACTATGGTTAAATCTCTCCATGTGCTATGAGATTAAGGTGTTTCTATCATGTCTTCTGACTGTTAGTTGATG